CATAAACGATACCGTGTATATAAAGTGAGAAGATATAATATGTCTTTGTTTTCTTTTCTCTATAGTTTTTAATTTTTGTTCTGTTACCCTCGGCATTGTTATCGTATAACAGTGAGGAGGAAATAAAGGTACCGTGTTATTAAAGTCAGAAGAAACATAACAGTGACGAGGAATTGACCAATACCGTGTATATAAAATCAGTGTTTTATGACAAATTAGAAATTTCAAATGTATATATATATATAATATAATAATATATATAAAGTCAGTGTAAAAAGTTAAAAGAAATCAGAAATCTCATACTCATCATAGATATTACTGTTTATAAAGTCAGTATTAAATGTTAAAAGAAATCAGAAATTGCATATGCATTATTGATAATATTGTATATAAAGTAATTGTGTCAGGACAAATCAGAAATATCCTATACATTATAAATAATCACATAAACAAAAGTTTTATGCTATAGAATCTGATGAAATATTTTTGATATTGCCAAAATAAAGATATTTGTTAGAACGATGATTGACTCATGTAAAACATTGATATCGATATTAAAGTTGCAATATAAAGTACTGACAACCGATATGTTTTGTTGATTTCATCGGGATTTTATTATAACAGATCTGTAGGAAGTAGTTGTACGATAGATTTACAAATAAGTAAACTAAGCATTAACCGTTTATGTATTTACATTGTACATGTAAAATATTTTATCGCTGAAAATTATCCCTTACTAAAGCATTTGCTTGTGCTATGTATGTCTCTGATTTGTATTGAGAATGTTTAATTATGGTAATGGTGATGATTATACCATCAGTATATTAAATGATAATTTCCTGAAACAGACAATGTAATTAGTTGTGTTTAAGATTCGATGAAAGAAAATACTAAATTAAGATATTAATTTAAAACGTTTTGCTTATATAAGATAAATTACATATTTATTTATGCTCTGAAATGACGACGGATTTATCCGTTATTTCCCGATCATTACAAGGATAACACGGCAGGTGTGACCGGTCAGCGGAGGATGTTCACTCCTCCATGGCACCTTATCCCACCTCTGACATTTTTAGAGGTCAGTGTTTGCTCTACTAATATTTCATATTCTGTCCGTTATCTCTATTTGTTTTATAGGAAGATCCAGCATGATTTTGGGTAACATCGGATGCTGTGTACGTACAAACAAAAAATGATGGGGGGTAACGAAATTACTTTACTTAAAATCTAATCAGAGGCCATTTTCTTCTAGGATGTCGTTCTCCCGTCTTTTCTAAGTTGATATAAGAATTTTTCTTACTCTCATATAAGATTTCGGAGTCATCCACTCACCGCTGCTAGAGTCTCAAATGTTTTAGTGTAATACATGAATGTTACTTAGTTTAGAGATAGGATCAAAAAAGCGAAACTATTGATAATACTTTACTTTTCAAACTATTGCACATCAACTATTTGGTAAACAATTCGTCAGCTTGTACAGGGTTAACAGTGGTGTATTATTCCATATAGTGCAGTCAACTTAAACTGTATTCTAAATACATCAATTATATATCATTGATCAATGACATTAACTATACATAATAACTATACTGTTGAAGATTAGTGTCCATTGATAGAACATCCTTTGTACTCTTCCTTCTTAAGAACATTAATAAAGTCATCATTCATTACTACATTGTGTCGAACCTACAAAATACAAACTTTATCAAAAATTGATGTGTTACAACATAGGCAATATTTATGATGTACATATTACTTTACAAAGCATACATACATTTAGAATTAGATTTTCAATTGCCATGTTATAGCAATAAATGTGATCAATGTTCTGTCCAGAAACTCAGGACATTGTGTCGGCCTTACAAAATACAATTATAAACAAACTTTATTAAAAATTGGTTTTTTACAACATGGTTAATATTTATACATGTACATAGTACTGTACAAAATACACATAGTGTATTAAATTTTCAATTGTCCTGTCATAGCAATAAACCTGAAGTCAATGTTTTCTCCAGAAACTCATTCGGAAGACAAATTTAATACGATAGATTCAATTCTTTTGTCAGTACATATGTATATACCCCTACACTGTACATGCTACAAACAAAACAGTGAAAATTCTCAGAAAAAAATACCTCAATAATGGAGTTATTGAATCTTTTTTTCTAAAGAAACGATGGATAGTAAAGAGAAGCCATTGTAAGAACCAATCTTCACCGCAGAATCAAAATAATTATATATTTTTCTGAAGAAATAGGCTCTCTTTCAATCTGTGAATCGTTGATATTTATATGTATGCAAGATCCGAATGTATGAGATCAGTTGATTTGATAGGCACGAGCATGCTCTATGGAAGAACAGTATCTGTTGACAATCAAGTTGATGGAGCAAACATTTTTACCGTCTCGTTCGAAGTCATAATTTTGTAAATGGCTTTGTCAGCAATTACAATCTATCAAGTGGGATACTGACCTTTGATACAATTTACAAGGTCAATCTCTAAATTATGATAGCAGGGGATACGCACTCCTCCAAAGCATTTGATGTTTTCGAGGTCCATAGTTACCCAGTTCTTAATTTGTAGTGTTTGAATGGACAAGATGTTTGTTATCTTTAACATAAAGTTCTGGGGCCCGTTTCACTAAAAGGCGTAAGATACGACGAAACTTATGTTAGGCCTTAGGGCGTATGCCAAAATTTAGTCCGGCGTAAACTGCGTTTCACTAAGAGGCGTACGCCTGGCCGTATACACTAGTATCGGACTAAGTTAAGGCCAGACTTACGTCCTTGACAACGAGCTTATGCATATGCCCAGACAGATGATAAACAGTAGAAAGGAACATAGATAGATATATAGATAGAAAGATTTTCTTTAGATAGATAAAAAAATATATAGAAACTTTTCAATTGTGTTTGAGAGAGAGAGAGAGAGAGACGTAAAGTATTCAGGCATATTTATCCTGTTAAGTGACAAAATCACACAGCAAAACTTGCTAAAATGTTTTATTTGAAAGATATATTTGATGAAGCATATAGGATATGTTCATTCAAAATTATTAACTCAACCATGCTTCGAACACCCTTGGATATTCTCTTTTGATCATGCGTCACTTATGGTCCGAGTATAAATATTTTTTTTTTAAATTTTCTGGTTTCCTATTGCTATATTATTGAAAGAAAATCAGTGAATTTGTTTTAAAATAGAAAATATAGCGAATTTATGCAGTAATGAGCTTTTTAACCATGGATTGGACAATATTAAGCAAGCATCAAACAGCCATACAAGCAGATACTTAAAATAACGAAATTTTAATATTTCACGAAAAAAAAAAAACAAAAAAAAAAAAAAAAAAAAAAGACGAAAAAAACGAAGAGGCTCGAATAAATGTATCTATTACTTTCATATTAAAATTTGTTACAATGTAAAATGTGGAGCAAAATGACCTCGGAAATAATTGATGAATTCCATGTCTAATTTTTTTTAAACAATTTGTTTTTTTTTCAAATTATTTAAGTGACAGGGTACATAAGTGCATGCACGTTTATTTGTAAATGTTTCACAAAAATTATCAGATCCAAGGTACAAATGTATGTGTCAGACGTATGGTGGACTCAACATAAACTACCCAAGTACATTTACATGTGTATTTAGTATATTGAACGAGTCTTCATATAAATTTGAAGTTGATAAATAGTAGGTGAAATAAAATGTATTTAATCTGGAGTTATTGTTTGCTATCGATTGTATGATAAATACATTATCTTATATTTAAAAAAATTAGGGACTTTTGACGACTCTTAAACATAGTTAGAGCTTTCATCATATTTTGGTATTTACATTTTAACAATAATGATATTACTTTTGTGAATAACCTTAGTTTAACTACTTAAGCTAACACCCTTTACTCACCAAAAAATGAAATAAAAAAAGAGGAAAATATAAAGTCAATAATACACTTAGTGATATTTAAATTTCAAAATATCCCGCTCACACATATTTTGCGCGGAAGGTGGAGAATGGGGTGGATGAAATGCTAGACATTTCTTATGCAAATATACCTTTGTATTACATGTGCATCATGTATGTATATATTCTGCATTATTCATTGCCCAATTTATTAAAATATGAAACGTAAATTAAATTATTGGATAAAAATAATCGAATGAAAACTATATATCGAGTATCTAAATATGGCATTTTAACATGTAAACGGCAAGTGCAAATATTAAGAATGTGCATATAACATATATGCATGGTTAGAAAGTTTCTATTCGAGAATTGGTACTACATATCAAAATTCTCTGTTTTCTTAATTTCATATGAAATTAATGAAATTTACATGACAAATTGTACAATTTAACATTACGGTCAGCCACGATACCCTCGGCAAAAGAATTAGCAGTCGATTCCTGTTTACGCCATAAGTTACGACTACCCTTGGCTAGGCGTAGATTTTTGTCTGAACTTAAGGCGGGCGCAAAGTTACGCCCTTTAGTGAAACGGACCTTAGTCCAAATGTTAGACGTAAGTCCGGACTTACGCCGGGCGTAGAGTTAAGACAGGCGTACGCCTTTTAGTGAAACGGGCCCCAGGTTTGGCATCAAATCCTTAGGAATAGGGAGTGACTCTTTCTAAATACATCATCAATGACGTTCTCCAGTTTTTATTTAACGTACCTTCTGACAACTTTTTTTTTGGAGAACGATCAAATAACTGGTATTATTAATCAGTATTGTTAAGATGTGTACGTGGTAATACACTGTATATCTACTTCCGTATTGTCCATAAAAAGGTTCAGATATCGACGGAGATGAGAAATATATAAATGCATTATTGTTTTAACAACCTTGTTTAATCCTTTTCTCTCCAATAACCTTTGCGCACTGCTTTCTTTTTTCCGTTGTCCATTTAAAACCTCAATATTCTGTTTTTTCTTGTTATTTTAAAAGAGGTTTACATTCAGTTGTTAATTTTTATGAATCAAAAAAAAAAAGAAAAGAAAATGGAATTTTTTACGTTTCTTTCTCGGGTGTTCTTGCTAGTACTTTGTTTTTACTCCGTGGAATCTGTATTCAAACACAATGTTACGCCTGATTGTGCTGCCTCAGAGACGGAATGCTCTTTCGACTTTCACGTGGATTACATCACGAGTATGGTATCATACAACTTGTCCACTGGTGAAGGATGCCCGGTTTTTGTACGAAACGGAACCTTTTTCAAGAAATGTTCCAATGATGTCATGTCTATAGATTGCCCTTGTGTTGAGGTTCCATTGACAAACAAAGGTTAGCTTACTAGGATAGTTTTTTTGAAATAGTAAAGATTATTAGAAATACAGATAGTCTTGGTTATGTTGAATTCAATACAAGAACATTTCATTTATAGGTTTTTATCTTTGTAAAGAATTGGAAGACATTTGAGTTTTTCCTTGATTAGATTAATATTCCGGCTTCCTTTTAGATGTGCTTTACTGTTTTTAATTTTTGTGGATTTTAAGATTTATTTTGTAACTTAGTTTTTAATAGATAATATGAATATGTACACCTTTAAATCCTTTAGGATAACAATACTTCTATAACTTTCACACGACATAAACATCTTTAATATCTATATGCCTAACTCCTGTCTTGTACAAAAAAAACAAATTAAAATGTATGTTTGAAAAAGAATAGATTCGAATTTTTCTGTAACATTTCAAATCAAAATGACAGGGTTTTGCTTTTTCTGTCAAATTGTTTGTCATATATTCATATGGTTTTTTTTTATATTTGAATGATCAAATAATTATCTATGAATCACGTTATTGTTACGAATGGTTCACACTAGAAAATTAGAGAAATATAGAACAAGAGGTAAACACATTTCACGTATATACACAAAATACTGATAACGGAAAAACAAAATTATTTAAGAATTCCCACTACTTTCAAAAGAAAATCTTAACCTTACTTCTTTCATTTTATAGAAATGGAAGATGTGATCACAGCGGATGGGAACTATAAATTCATGTTTGCCATAAACAACCAATTCCCGGGGCCAACAATTGTTGTATATGAGAATCAAAAGGTAATGTATTTTTAAAAAATTGTCTATTTAAGCTAAGAACTAAAATAGAGAATAATGCACGTTGTTTTTCTATGTATTACCCCGTATCAGCCCACGACATCAATATAAGCCATTTATTTATTTAAAGTGTTTCTAGAACAATAATAACATGTACAGTCAAACAAACTATAAATTGTTTATAAAATCATATAACAGTAATATTATAGTATCGACAAGATTTTTTCATTTTAATATAAATGTAGCATGTTTATTACACACGTCTTTTTATAAGATAAATTTGTATTGAGTATGGTATACATATTAATTCTACATATCAGCTCTTTATACATATATAAACAAAAATTTAATGACTATTTATGAACAAAAAGATTTTGTAATATCTTTTATGGAATGCGACTTAGGTTAAAGTTCATATCCACAATGACCTTATGAATGAAGCAGTGACCTTTCACTGGCACGGAATGTTCCAGAAGGATACACCGTGGATGGATGGCGTCTCTATGTTAACTCAATGCCCTATATTGCCAGGACAGACCTTTACTTACGAGTGAGTAGGTTTGGTCAAAATTATTTTCAACAGCTGAACAAAATCAGTATTTTTTCCACAGTGTAAACGAAAATCATCAACGCTTCTTTTTTTCTTACTTTTTCATAACATATTTTCACAGGTCGAAGTTTTATATACTGAACTCAGCAATTAGTATGTTATCATTAAAATATATTTGCATACATTGATTCATCACATTAAAAACATAAACCTACTCGGAGAAGTCTATGAAGTCTTTCAATCTGTCAGGTTGTTCTATTTAGTGTGTTTATAAAGAAAAACGACAAAATGTCTTTTTAATCAATAAAAAAGTTTTAAGGATTTATTTTCTCTAATGAAAATATTAACCGAAAATGGAATGGTTATAGTGAAATATTTAGTATTGAAATTATGTTTTTTTTTTAATATTCTTTCATTGTCTTAATGTTTGTAAAAGTATATTTAAAAAACTACCCAGTCCTGTTCATTTAATACATCCAGTATCCAACACCAATGCAATAAACATCCTCTATATAAATGTAATCATTATTGTGTTACTGCATAATTGTAATTTGAATTAGAAATGATATAAAGGCATGACAAACTCTTATTTATTTTGTTTAGGTTCATAGCTAATCCACGAGGAACACATTGGTACCATTCACATCATGGAGCCATGAGAACTTCCGGTCTAGCTGGTGCCCTGATTGTACTTCCCCGCGAAAAAACAGATGTAAAAAGGGGATTTTTTTCCCTTTCTTGAAGTATTGCATGTTAAAAATTCTGAATATGTAGCTTAACATATAGCATATTAGTAAAACACCACAGTTATTTTTTCTATTTTTTTTATCTTTAGAAAGAAGCATTGATATTTACATACACACTTCTTCCGAAAAATCTAAGTTTGTCGTAATATATGCAAGTTATACCACTTTAACGCATGAGACCCCCTAATGGGTAAGATAAAAGAAAACTTGAATATGAATATTTTAATGGTAATGAAAAGGAAAGGAAAAAAGAACCATTTTGAAATACCTATCATTATTTAAAGTCTGCGTTCTATCAATTCATCTATACAAGAAATAGGATGTGCCCCAATGGTAGTGTATTATGTTTAAATCATGATCCTTTACCGTATGCTCTGACCACACTACTGGGGTATTATTTTAAAAAAAATAAATGAAAAATAGTTCATAAATTTTCTGATCATCCTTAGAACAAATGTGGCTCCTGTGACCATTGAGACTTATTGACTTTCATTGATAATTGTTTGCAAAAGTTGATAAATTTAATATATACACATGTTTATCAAAAATGATACTATTTCAGAGAGACGATATTCCAAAGGTAGATAACGATGTTGTTTTTATGGTGCAAGAATGGAATTCTAAGATGAGTGATGTTCAGCTTCCCAACATTCAGGAGTGGTATATGCTATCGTATGTTATTGGTAGCTTTTTTAAACTATAGAAAATTATCGTTAGCCATCGTAATTCCTCTCAAGATATCAAAAGTCAGCTAAAATTTTTTGTTAACTTACATGTAACAATGGTTATTTCAATTCTTATGCCGACTCAATATATCCTGGTGACATATTGATATTTTAGACGATGTTATCTAACAAAAAATATTAATCATGATAAATGTGATGAGTTTAACTTTTGAAATGTCAACTGTACTACTTATGCAACAATATACCTGTGGCAGCTTCATGTTGAGTTTATATCGCAATTGATTCAATACCTAAGAGCATATTCTTCTTACGTACAATTTCTAAAATGAAGTAAATTTTTGACAATTAAGTTGATGAATTAAAAATATCAGGAAATTCACTAATGCGTTCAACGGTCAATAAAATGACGTCAGCAAATTCAATCTTTTATTAAGTTTAGACTGACACATTGAACTACAAACCGTCTCCCGTTTTTCGAGATCATGACAAGGAGCACACGGCGGGTGTGACCGGTCTGTAGGGGATTCTCAATCCTCTTGTAGCATTTCATCCTACCTCTGATGTTGTGGAGGTACGTGATTACTCTGCTCCTATTTTGTAATTCTAAAGGCTTTTTGGGCTAGAATACTGTTTGATTATACAACAATTTCATTCAATTATTGCTGTTTGGTTAACCCTTTTTTTTATTAATTAATTAGAAATGTCACCGTTTATCAGCGAAGGCTTCAAATGTAGTACATGGCGCGCAGGCCATTGAATTGTGAGAGATCTTTCTCGGGCCATCACCTGTCGCAACAAAGGGCTTAGGTTTTTAAGGTTCCATAGGTGCATAGGGCATTTTTCAAAGGAACAGTTCATATCTTTTTTTGTCATTCGCTACATATGTTTGAAGCAAAATCCTCAGGAAAAAAAAAACCATGAATTTATTTAAGAATCTTGATTAGATTTATAGTACCATTTATAACAAGCATAATACGAGAAATAATGAATAATGCTACTAGGAACTGTTGTCATAAACGTTTTGGTCCCTTGTGATGTATAAAATGTAGACAGCTCTGAAAAGTTTGCTTCTTGTTTCTTTTATTTTACCATTTTTAATTTCGTTGAATATTTGATTAAAAAGGTATATGTAAGTTTGCACTAAAGTTACAAATACTCCTATCCGTTCTTGTTTTTTTTTCTCCATAGAAAGCCAACTTAATAGCAGGAACTAAGATTCCAACGGAAAATTAACACATCTATTTTCAAATACAAATATTTACATTCGCTGTGTTTTTCTACTAAGCCAACTGTGAAATTGATTTGAAAATCAATTTCGTGTACCAGTATACTCACGCGTAGAAATATACACGGAGAAACGTGCATTACCGTGACGTCACAATAGAGATATAGCGACGTTAGTAAAATTATAACAATATAGGGCAGCGAGAAATTCAAATATTGAGTATATTTTCGATGATTCCAAACATAGCGCGCTTCATGAAATATGCCTGCGTGACAAGTCTGTGTGATTCACACACCAATAACTCACACAAAACCTAAAAACATCCCTTACATAAACCGTTAATTGAGATTTTTTTTTTTCATTTTAGGTTCTCACAAAACCTTGATACAGATAATTGTGTGACAACTAAACGAAACTATGACGGAACAATATCTACTTTAGCAGGTCCCTACAATAATGCGCTTGTGAACGGTAAAACTAGATATTGTAAGTGTCTAATATTATCGTCATAAAGTAATATTGGTATACGGTAAAAGTAGATATTGTAGTGTTTAATATAATCATCATCTAGTTATACTGGTAAACGGTAAAACTAAGTATTGTAAGTGTCTAATATAATCGTCATATAGTAATATTGGTAAACGGTAAAACTAGATATTATAAGTGTCTAATATAATCGTCCTCTAGTAATATTGGCATACGGTAAAACTAGATCCTGTAAGTGTCATGGTCATTTAGGATAATGTGAGAACACTTCTGTTCTATTTTTTTTCCTTTTCTTCGCTTTGTGATCGTGAGGCCCGGGTTCAATTCTCGTTCGGAGCTCCACGTCAAACCTTAGACGTATTACTAGGTTGTGGCTCTTCCTTTGTCAAGTGCTCGTTACTACATTGAAAGTTATAGATCTTTTGGATATGAACTTTAAAATGTAGGTCGCCTTTCACGGTAAGCGTTGGCAGGAAAATGAATCCCCACTGCTCAATGGTCTTGAGTGCCGAGTATAGGTCCAAATTTGAAGCCCTTCACTAACATATTGTGATATTTCTATTGGAGTATATGATTCTTAAATGGGACATTAAACAATATACAATGATCATTCTTTATTTTGAATTATCTTTTATAGAAACACGAAAAATATAGCCTAAAATGATGCCTTCAGTATGCTAAGGTTCTCTATACATTGTAAATATTGACGCCTTGATTGAATGATAAATGATCTAATGTAATAACATCAGCAAAGCTGTAATATTGATACTAGATATTTTGTTTTTATTCTATTTATACTAGTTTCTGGACAACATACTGAGATGCAGCGTTCATTGCCACTGGAGGTTTTTAACATATCATCCGAGACTTATAATAGATTCCGTCTTATTAACTCTGGTATGACTGGTAGCTTCAAAATTTCAATCGACAGCGTAAGTATTGGGTCCACCCGTAGAATTACATTCACGCATAGCTCTCTGGATTAAATTTATAATATATGGTACAGCAACAAAAAAGTCCCGTAGTTGTACAAGGGGTTATCAAAAAGTTCGTGGACTGCGGCTATAAAATTAGTAGTATTTAGTCTGTGCTTTCAAAATTGATAAGGAACATAAAACAACAAAAAATAAAGAAATGTTGAAAATTTATGCTTGATACGTTCATTATTTGCCAAATTATTATAAAGTGAAAACGACATTATATGATCACCCGGCGCTGTCGTCGTTTATTTTCATGACATCCGATAAAGTCATTGTTTTTTCAATGTCCGTTTCTTCTACCTCATACACTTATTTTGATGAGATTCCCTGGAGGTGACTAAGGACCCAAACCCGCCTTGGGAGAGATCTTCGCTTGATTGTGCTGGCATATATTGCTTTTGGGAGTTCAATATCTACAACACATGATCAACGTCATTTTTTGACATGATTGATTTTTCACACCTAGATTGCAAATCGACATAAAACGTGTTTCCCTTTTCTCTCTGAATCTATTTTGACATTAAAAGACAAGTACTCTGGATGCATATTATTTGTTTATTTGTTTGAACATTCTGTGTAAAATTAATGATAAAATTTCGTAGAACTTCTAGAATGAAGTGAAATTTTCATATTTTGTGGAACAATTGTGTCCCGACACATACCTGAATTAACGGGATTTTTGGATGTCAAATGATCATATCAAAAGAGTTTGTCTCAGTTACACATAGGTCGCAAAAACATCGTGTTCGAGGTTGCGCCGCCTGGACAAACCATTGGTTACAAAAACATTACTAATTTATTAAAAAATAAAATTTATGATTTGTGGTTTATTCTGTAGATAGAGAAGATGATGCTTACTAGATATTCTAAAATTCATTGATATGCCTAAAGCGCTATTAATTTTACAACGCTAGTCCACGAACTTTTTGATAATCCCTCGTACTTATACAGAACTTCATAGTTTTACAGACTTAATAAATCCAATGCTCTAAGCCTTCGATTGCATGCTTTATAATGCAGCTAAACACACTAATTTAACAAAATTTTATTTATTAGTTTTGAGATTTAATTTTATCAATGAAGCACCAGATTTTACTGATTGCCTCGGACGGTGCAGATCTCGTTCCCGTTGATATCGACTTCCTCCTGATTAATCCCGGAGAAACTTATGACGTCATTCTGTATGCCAATCAAACAGCTGGAAACTACTGGATTCGAGTAGAAACAACGGCGGTCATGGATGTACATTTTGTGAGTTGTGTTGCAAAATGTGAATGTGGATCAATGCTTTTGTTTTATTTATACATGTAACTCGCAAATAATCCAAATATTGGTTTAAAAAAACATTACTTTTAAATTTAATTTTACTGTTCTTTTTTAAGATTCATATCTGTTAAAAATGTTGTTGGATCAATTTTATACACATCGTGTTGTAATGGTAGCAAATTTACTTATATTTTTAATGAATGTGATGTCCATTCTGGAATAGAGTATGGAATATCAGAATGAAAATGTAATAAAACTGAAGCATATGGTGGAGGTCTGTGTTCAACATTAGTTATAATACGAGTTGTCATGATGATGATGATTATGTCTTTCAACCTTTTGCAGAACCCATTAAAACAAAATGTAAGCTTTACTCACCTTCACTACGAAGAAGCAAAAAATGAACTTCCCGAATCAGAAGAGAGAAAATGTTCCGTGAAAGAACCGTGTATAATGGCCAATTGTCCCTGGAGGTATGAGTTATAAATATCACATAACGAGTCAATGTTTAAAGATGTACCGATTATTTTCTTCAAAACCTGCAGGGCCAAATATCGTATGTAAGATTATTTCCAGAATCAAATTCCGTGTTTCTTTTTTTTATTTATTTATTTGCTTTTGTCATCATTAACATTTTTGGCAAAAGTATACATTCAGTTTTTTGGAACAAGAAAAAATATTTCTTCATCTTTTTATAAGCATTTTCTCCGGGAATTAAATATCAATTTGTAAGTAAAGTCACATTTCTTAAGCTTGTTTATTTAAAATAATAACGCTTATCACACACCTAGAAAAAATAATTAGGTGTACATCGATCAACATCAACTTGTACATGAATAATCAATTGCTTGTATAAAGACACTATTTACTTGAACATGGAAACTCATTCACTTGTACATGGAAAACATTCACCAATATTAATATATTTACATAGATAAAAAAAAAAGACATATGACTTAACATTGACTTGTGCATGAACAGCGTTAACTTGTCCACTTACTGACAGTCCAGAGAGCTTGGCAAATATAGAACCATCTATCAAGTGTCTTTCGATATCAGACTTGAAGGCCTCGTCTTCAAGCAGCAACTCTAACCCTGTATCCATTCCAGAAAGTCCAGACGATTTCCAAGAGATTTTTCTCAATTTTCATTTTACAGGTAAATTAAAACTAAAATTATATGATTTTTTGATATATATTTAGTTGAATTAAGACACCAGGAGAATAAAATACGGATTAGGGAATTTTATTCATTGTTTTTTAAATCTTAAATGTTTAATGCGTGCTTGACTTTTTTACTAGTCAGAAGATTTCTGAGACAAACAAACATGAATTAAGGAGTTTTCTTCCAATATTTTTACAAATCTACATTAATGAATGCTTCTTTTTAAGGGAGTGATGTTAAGCGTCCCCGCCCAGCAGTTAATACAATCCATTATAAATCCCCACCAACTCCACTACTGGTATAATGCATTTCTTTTTTTATTACAAAGTATTTAGAGTTGCAGATCGATTATTCACTTAAAATTCTTATCCTTGCATTTTAAAAATAACTGTATAATAGAATTTAAAAAAATATATATTGTCAAAAAAATACATGCATTGAGTAAATAAAAATTTTCCATTTATAAAGTTTTAGATTTATTTTATGAAACCTTAAATTATTCCTGTGTTAATAATGTTAAGTAAAAAATATACACTGATATAATAATACATAATGCATAATATAGTAGTTTACGTTAACTACTTTGTAATTCGCAGATTAATCCAGATATTGCAAAAGACGAGAGCATTGTATGTAACAACGAACACATGGATCACTGTGGAGACTACTGTCAATGTACTCACGTCGTAAAACTGGAAACCAAGAAAACCACACAGCTCTTGTTCTTATTGCGGTAAGTGAGTGTACTCCAACTAAAAGAATCTCAATCTGATTAAAATCACATCCTTTAAACCACTGACATAGATCTGAAGAAACCTCATTCAAGGTCATTCAGGGTGACCTTTCTAATAAAAACATTTATCAAAATTTGATCAATCTGAGAGTTCGTAAATAAGCGACATTCGGGAAAATGAATATGGAAGTGAAAGTAGCTGTGTTGAAGGTTTTTATCATTTCGTACAAGACAAATAGCTAATAAACGCAGACATGTAATAGTTACATATTAAACTTCTATGCAGAAACTGCTGTGTTTCTTATCTTGGCAAGCTATTGAAACCATTACACAATTTTCGTTCGTGTATCATCCCAACATTCACTTCTGTAAATAAATTCCAATACATTGAACTTCGTAATTATTTGACGTGAAAGTGAAAGTTTGGTTGAAAGTCCTCCATGAAAGACTTTGTATGGGGTTTCTTCAAATCAATGTGTAGCGTTTTATGTGAGCATCTCAAAGGATATGATTTTAATCAGATTGAGAGAATATTGTACGATTCATATCCATTTCCGATCGTCCTCGGATTTCGAGCTGTCTTGACATCTGCACAAAAAATTGATTAAGATGCGTTTCATTGCTATTGGACTAATCATGATATAAGTTGCTGATATTCTTTCAGTTCAGCTTCCGATATGTCATGAAACTAGGAATTTTCCAGTTGCAAGGGGTAGTATGATTTTATTGAATGAAGAAAATCTCAAATAAATATTCTTTAAGAAACATAACATTTTACGTATCATGACGGATATTACTTTCAATCGTGAATTCAATCAAAAATATAAATTTTCCCCTCTCAACTACGTTATTTCAACAGTACCTTCTGCACATAGGTGTACTATGTATCGGTCAAAATTCCAGTAAACGTGTTATTATTGTTTGATATGTTTTATAGACGGCCTGCAGACAGGGACCTCGCATCCCGTTCACCTTCATGGAAATCGCTTCCATGTTCTGAAAATTGGTCATGCAGTTTTGAACAAAACTACAGGGTTTGTACAAGATGCAAACCAAGACATCAAATTTTCGAATAATTATAGCAAAGCAAAATGGCGGGATTCAGGCTGGAAGAATGGTAACGCACCAAATCTGAACACAGATAACCCACCACTAAAGGATACTGTGGTGGTACCAAACAGAGGTTACGTTGTGGGGCGGCTACAAACGGAGAACCCAGGTAATTCAGTTTAGAGGAAATTCATCTTGGTTCTGAAAAAAAAAATGAAAATTGTTTTCATCCATCACGACAATGATAAAAAGGTGAGCGTGACCGATCGATAGGGGATGCTTACTTCCACGAGTTTCCTGATCCCATCTCTGATGATGTTCAGAGTACATTGCTACATATTTATGTGGTTTAAATGTTATTTATTATCTTAAACAATATTTCATTGCAGTCTTTTTAAACGGAAACTTTAAAGATTAAATGCAATTACTTTTTACGAAACAAACATATATTTTAGGATTTTGGCTTCTCCATTGCCACCTTGAAACTCACATGAACATCGGAATGGTTGTAGTTCTACAAGTAGGCGAAGCAAAGGAAATACCAGAAGTTCCCGCACATTTTCCGAAATGTTCTAACTACCGTCCAGACTCGGCCTTTTCACCTCCATCTAAATCTGTTAAACCGGAATGGAATCTTTAAAATATACAATGATTTTAACGACTTCTAGGTATTTTAATCTGATATACGATAAACCTCTCTCTTTGTTCCCAAACCCTCTCTCTCGTTGCATAAATCAGTCGAATTGAACTGATCTTACTACACATGTGTGTTCTTTTTGCAGTGGTTATATAATTATGTTGTAACTTTCTTAATTTTAAATTTTTCAGCTCTTCGTGGTTCACGACAGTGAAAAATGGTAGAAAGCAGAAAGTAAATGATAACGTTTTGACAATAAAGTACAAACTTTATATGTAGTGGTTATCACTGTTTTCGTCTTTTTCTGCTTGTGGTTTTCATCTCCAATGAAAACTGTCTTATCTGAAATGCAGTTGGAGAAAACATTACTATCGGAATAATAGATAGAATATCGGATTACAAAGTGAAAAGAAAAAGAAACTAGTGCAAAGCTCGTTTCAAGGCAACGAGTAGGTGTTTCGTCCTATTTGACCGGAAGTAAATTTCATAGTTTAAAGAAGAATGAGTGATGACGTCCAAAAATGGTTTAAATCCTCCAAATGTATGTTAATTAATGCAAAATAAGCCATTTTTGCGACTTCCAGTTTGACCGGAAGTGATGACGACTGACTGAAAGTTAAGTTTTCTCCTCTCAGTGACAGATATTACCCAAAAACCTGTCAAGAACGGCAGAAATACGCATTTTCTGACTACTTCCAGTCTGATCGGAAGGGACATCAACATACGTTTTTTGACAACCCCAATAGATTAAGCTTGACGTTTTGAACAACTTTGCTTTTTTAATGTTTAACAAATTCTCAATACTTTTAAATATATCAGAAATCCTTCATGGCCCATCTATATCCTTTATTTTAGGGGCCAGCCCTCTTTTCGAGATATCATTTGAAAGATCTTAAAATTCTACACTTCTTTTGTTCTACATGTATTAACAAAATATTTCCAGGTGAAACGATATCGTGGAAAAGGTGTTAGAAATACTGAAACTCGCGATGTGACTTTTTTCGGGCCATAGCGAGCACCGACGTGCGGCACTTGGTAAAAATGAACTTCCTAGTACAAATTAACATTCCTTGCTCTATCATCACTGAAAATCTCATGTTCCTGTGCTAAGTGCTCTTCTAAGAAGTGCTGCGGACACAATTACCCTCTAAAATCACTAAATCTCGAACACCCATAAACCGGAATTGACGTCATCAAAAGTAAAAAAAATATATATATCTAGTATTTTTAATTCTCTACCTGACCTGAAAGTTTCATGAAAATCGATCGAGCCGTTTCCGAAAATTCGCGTGCACAAAATTGGTAGGAAAAAAACAAACAATAATAAAAATAGTGGAAAAGAAACCTAAGAATAACAGTAAGGTCTTCCGCTGAAGACGAAAGACGTTAATAACAGTAAGTTGGCTATTTAAATAATTTTCGGAATTCACAATGAAAAGGATTGCACAGGTGACGTATACAACACTTCTTAATGTATAAGTATTACAGGGCTCTTGGTACCGTGTTACATAAATTATTAAATTACTTATAATTAGAAAGCAAACTCATTATTGGTAATTAAAAAAATGAATCTAATTGTACGTTTTTTAAAATATTCCTGTTTGTTAAAACAAAGGTTAATTCATTTTACTTCCCCATCAGAAATATCAATCATTTAGAAAAAAAAAATTGAAATTCACTGGATGAATATCAGAACTGAATCACAAATGAAATATTAAATCACAACATTTTTGTTGTTCTTCAAAACTCAGTTACTTGAAAACTAAAATTGAATGTATAGATAATCTTTAAAATATGAACTACTGTACACGTATTTTATCGATGTTAATTGAAGTAATATAAAATGTTTAGCTATTGTTTTAAAAACTTTATTTGAAATATAACCCATGGCAAGTAACAATGTAAGGAATGTTTTGCATTTAGAGGTATATATTTTCATTACTGTTTGTAAATAGAGATATAAAAGGATGGAATATTACACGTTGATCAATTCCATTCATAGGCATTACAACATACTGAATGTGGGGCAAACAGTGAAGGATATCCCGTAAATACTTTTCTTTGATGCCTGACTGTCTATCTATCAAGTCTGGAAAAAGTAGATCTTTATTTAAAGATATACATTGTAGCTGAATACAAAAAAAAAATATTTTAGATTCAAAAGCTAGTTTCACCTCAGAATGGCGGCTTGGACTAAATTTATGAATATGCCTTTGTAAAGTTTATTATCATAAGTAAATTGCTGCAATAAAATGATATTGCCTGTACTTTTTAAAAATTTTACTGTCGATGCAATTGAAAGCTGAATACCACTTTTTAATTAGTCCCGTTAGAATATTTTAAGTGCTTTCTTATTTACCCTTTGTTGCAATCTAAGAATTTCATGTTTTGTTATCAAAATTATTACAAACTAACAACAAAATACATTTCACATTCAAAATAGAGGTCACGGTAGCCTAGTGTTAGAGCATTAACTTGGTGATCGGAAGGCCCAAGTTCGATTAGTTCCCGGCACGGCTTCAAACCTAAGTCGTAAACATAGGTAGTGACTGTTCCTTCCTCAAGTGCTCGGCATTAGAAGTGAGAGTAATGGATTTTTCGGATGTGACCTTAAAAACATATGTCCCGTGTCGCAGTAGGCGTCGGTACGATAAAGAACGCTCACTGCTCAATGGCCCTACGTGCAAAGTATAGATCTAAATTAAAAACCATTCATTGGCATAGGGGACGTCTCTATATGAATGAAAGATTCTCGAATGGAGCGTTAAACAATATACAATCAATCAATCAATCAAATTCGAATTATATTTTATCCATTCTAAAAAACGTTCTCAAAAGATCATCTTAAAGAGAACGCTTAAATTATTGATAGGTAAATTCAAATTCTTTTTTGGAATACTAAAGAATGTCCCGCGTGAAATACCTAAACAAAGGACTATATACTACATGTTCTCATATAATTTTTTTTTGCTTCATTGAATGCATGAATATATGTTTTATATTTGTGAAAGAAAAATTATTGTGAGATCATTATCAAGATAGGTGGGGGTGTTTAGAGGCAAACACTAAAATGTTTGTGGAGGCATCCCTGTCTCATGACAACATCTTGATGTTAAAATCAAGATGTACTTTAAACAAAATCATAATGATCAAGTTGACTTTAGTTGAATTTTTCGTTATTTCCCGATCATAACAAAAAACACACGGCAGGTGTGACCGGTCAGCAGGGGATGCTCACTCCTCCATGGAACCTGATCCCATCTCTGAGGTTTTGCTCTGCTCCTGTTTTGTATTGTTTTATGACTTTTTGATCTTGAATCCTGATCGTTATCTTCATATAGGTCATGACTTGATGACAAAAAATAACCACGTAAGTAGCCACAAGTTGGTCGGAATAGGGGGTTTTACTAACGTAAACGTCACTAATAATTGTGGTAGGTGCTTGAAACATATAAATGTTCATAATACAATAGTACGGCGTAATTGCGTATTGATGGGTTTTGATACTTTGTGCCAGAAAACTTAACTTAATGAAATATGAAGATAATAAACAGATATTAAGTAGGAATGCTCATTAGAACACATATGACAAAAAGCGAAAATATCACTGGTGGGATTAGGTTTCAAAGAGGATTGAGAATTTCCTGTCTATTAATTACATCCACCATATATTCCCAGTCATGAAAGGGTAAACGGATAATCTGAAGTTTATTAGTATTAAAAAAAAAATTGCATAATAACTTGTATATCAAAGTGGATTTTTCCTATGCTACAAAATCAATATATCGACACATAGAAATTGCGAAATAATTACTTCAAATGTGAAATTCGATACTCTTGAATCGTCAATTTATTTATCAAAAGCTTGTCCACTTTTCAAAATTCCTCGGACGTAGTTCGTGTACCGGCAAGTCATCTCGGAGATATCAACGACATATACAGGTGGTAGTTGCATTTTGCAATAAAAGTAATGAATAATTACAGGAAAACTTGAAGTCAGTAAGTTTATTAGAAAGTTTGTGTGTAAACCATGAAAATATGAAAATGTGGAAATAAGATTGATAAGCAGTCACTGTAAATTTTTTGCTATTGATAAGTCGCAGTATATTTATTGTGGACCACAATCTCAGTCCTAAGTTATTAAAGAACAGGGGGTTAAAGTAGTGAAGATTCAAAGACATTCATCCGCAAGGCACCAACGACGTGCACTACAAAATACAGAACGCCTGTTGAAAGAACAAATATGTTAAAGTATATACTAGTATGTGTATCAAATTTCATTTGATTTTCGTCACCAGGGCTTCTATCAACGATATGTATGTCTGAATGAAAATAGTATTTTTCTACTCATCAGAGGTTTTGAACTTACAAGTCACAAATAGACGTTAGAATTATGTAGTTTAGTTTGCATTTTCATATATATGAAATTTACAACTTTATAACTCCAATAACTTTATTTTTTCAAGAACTTCTCAAGATTTTTTCATATTCATAACAAATAAGTGCAAAAACAGGTGCAAAATGTATCACTCTAAACCAAATAATAAAACATTAATTGCTCATTTTTTCGGAACTCTACTTTTAAAGGTTTCCCTAGAGGTTAAAATATACTTAAGGTTTACCAGTCATCAAAAAATTTCAAACTTTCTTCTCTTCACTGTTTAAGGTCGGTTATTGGAGCGATGCCAAATACGGATCCAGTTTGCTGTAAATAAGAACAGTAGAAAACATTTCTCCTCCTTGTATTCTTTTCTGACAACGCTTTATTCCAAAAACAGAATAAACTGATTATTTAGAAACGACATTCAGTAAACAGGAAACAATACAGGACCGGATTAAAGATGGGGTTCATAAGCGCCATTAGGGAAAATATCGTTCTGAGTCTTGCTAATAACACACTCTCCGGCTCCTCTTGAATAGCGCTCACCATGTTGGTGACAAACATAGGAAAGGTTAAAAGCACGAAACACCCCGTGAACAGAGATATCCTTATGACGCATCTTCTGTTTCCCGAAGAAGTTTGAAATTTCTGTGTTGTTGTTTTATTCGTGACGCATTTGATGACATAGCAATATTCTACAAGATTTATAAAGATAAGTCCAAAAATGACAAAAAGTGACCATTGAAATGGATCCCTGTCCGTTAACGAAGTTTGTACATGACAGTTATTTTCTAGAATCGGCAAAGGCAGGGCTATAATCCAAGAAAGAAGACAGGCCGCTGTTATATTGAAATGTGTACAAATCTTGGTATAGTGAAAAGGAAATCGTAG